CCTCCTCCTCCTCCTCCTCATCCTCCCCCTCCTTCTCCTCCTCCTCCTCCTCCTGATCCTCCTGATCCTCCTGATCCTCCTGATCCTCCTGATCCTCCTGATCATCCTGATCCTTCTCCTCCTGATCTTCCTCCTCCTCCTCCTCCTCCTGCTCCCTCTCCTACCCATGGCAGCGGTGGTGAAACCTCGGCCCATCACATGAGGCTGAACCTGCCGCCGGGCAGCCGCGCGAAGCCGAGCGGCGGAGCGCTCGCGGAGCCGACCGCGAACTCCAGGACGCGGGCCCGGTCCGCCGGGCCGAAGCCCCGGAGCGCCTCCCAGAACCATCGCGCGAGGGGGGCCGGCGGAGGAGGGAAAGCGGCACAGACGTGGCCGCCCCGGTACTAGGGGGCCAGATGCGATCCCTACCCCTACCCCCCACGCTTTCTGAGGGGGTGGGTTTCGCTTCGTTCGGGAGCTCCCGAGCGAAGTGAACCCCACGCTCCCCCTCAGAAATCGTGGGGGGTAGGGGTTCGCATGTGGCCCCCTAGATACGCAATCCGCATGGCAGAATAACACATGGCATAAACCCAAGCTTTTGGCGCTCCGCGCGGATCTCTCGGATCTGCGCTGGACCCCCTCCCTGGCGCGCGGAGCGCGCCAGGGGCGGCGCCGGGGGCGCTGCTGGGGGGCCCAGCGCGGATCCAAGAAACCCGCGCGGAGCGCCAAAAGTTTACGCTTATGCCATTTGTCCCTCTTCTAACACAACCCGCGGCGCGTTGGCACGGAGCTCAGCACGGAGATGGAAAACGTACGTTGGCGCAACACGTTCGCCAAAACAGAAGCCAACACGTTGAGCTGCCACGCAGCGTGTGAACACGGACGTTCTGAACAGGGTACGCGTTGCGTTTCAGAACGGGCGTATCAGAGCAGCTCAGGGCACAGGCGTGAGCTTCTAGAGGTCCGTGCAGACTTCTTTGATCGGCGCTGGGCCCCCCCGGCAGCGCCTCCAGCGCCTCCTCTGGCGTGCTCCGCGCGCCAGGGAGGGGTATGGCGCCGATCCGAGAAATCCGAGCGGATCCCCGAGTGGATCTTCGAAAAAGGCGCCTCTTGATTCCTGGGCGCCGCTCATCGTAAGGACTCACCTCATGGAAATGCCCATAACAAGGCAACCGATTCTTGATTCTTGGCCCGTTGGCAACATAAGCGCACGTGACCCTAAGACGACCCAACTCCCCCCCTGGCCATGCTTATGCCGCTTGCTCCTTCCTCGAGCTGAGGCCGTGAGGCCGCCCTGGTACGTCGTGTTGGCCTCCCAGTCGTCCACCGCGGCGTCGTTGATCTCGCCTGCCCCGCCAAGCAGCAGGCGCAGCTCGTCGGGCGCGAAGGCCCCGCGGACCTGCCCGGCGAGGAGCGGCGGCAGCAGCACCGCAAGGCCCCCGGCGGCGGCGGCGAGCTGCGCGCCGATGCGCTCGCTGAAGCTCCGCACGATCGACAGCGAGCGGAGGCGGACGTACTCGTTCAAGCTGTGGTTCTCCACGAGCGTCTCCGTGCCCCCGGGCTTCATGTCAGACTCGGCCGGCTGTGCGCGACGGCCTGGCCGGGCCAGGTAGGCTGGCAGAGGCTCGCCGGCCAACGAGAAAGTCAGACAGAGGTCGGCCACGTCACCACCAGCCTTGGCCAGCATCTGGAGCTCGTGCATCTGCCTGCGCGCTGCCGGGTCCAAGTAGTCGAGGAGCTCGCCGGCATGCTCGTCGACGCTGCGCCCGAAGAGCAGGCCGAGGAAGGCGAGATTGAGCCTGCCCATCTCCGGGCAGAGAGGCTCGCCATGAAGCAGCGCGAGTCCGAGAATGCGACCCAACAGCGCGAATTGCGCCAGGTGGTCCGGCACCAGCGAACCAGAGTGCGGGTTGGGTACCAAAGTGGTGCCGTCAGCCGACAGCACAAACAGGCCATGGTCTGGCTCCAGCAATTGAGACGCCGCTGCAGCGAGCCATTGGCGACGAAGGCCATCCCCAGCAGCAGCATCTCTGGCCGATCGGGCCTGGCGCACGGTCTGCAGCTTTGCTGGCCTCGCGGTGGTCAGCCGTCCATCTTCAGACGCCACGCCGAGTGCCTCGCAGGCACCCAGCAGCGGGGCTTCCCAGTTCGCCACTTCTAGCACAATTCCTTCTCCATCTTCCGGTGGGATGATTGCCTCCATCGCAGCACGTAGCCAGGCTGCCCGAGTCTGTAGACCAAGATACTTTGGCGTCGAGAATAGGATCTCAACCTGTCTCACTTTCTTGTTGAGCGCATTCACAGCAGCGCGCGGAGCCTTGTTGAAAAACTGATCTATGTCTTTGAGCCCGCCAACATCTAGAAATACGTCCATCAGTTGCGGAAGAACGGTCATCTCAGCTGGCGATAGCTCTGACGCGTCCAGATCCCGCAGCTCGCACGATTTTATGATAGCTGCACTCGCATCGGACACAGCAGGTGCAAAACCAAACCCGGTGCCAGAGCTAGACGCCAGCGTGGCCAAGAGTGGTGAGAAATGCTGCACGAGCCCCTTGTGCAGAACACGCAAGCACTCTGCACGCGCAGATACATGGTCACATTTAGCCGGGTCTTTGTACCAAGACGAGCCGTCATTGTCGTAAATGAAATCAAACCCAGAATGGGCACAGTCGTGTGCCGGCGTGAAGCCGTCCCCAGAGTGCGGTGGACCAACAGAGCCTCTCTTCTCTGCGAAAAGCTTGCCAGCAACACCGTGCTGGACCAACGCTTCAAGCATCGCAGGATTACTGCGCTGCGCAGCAATATGAGCCAGATTCGCGTTGCCTTCCTCGCGGTCTCGCCATCCCACAGCCTCTGGGGCTGCCTCGAGCAGCGCATGAACACACTCGATTGCGCCAGGCCCTTTGTTACTACATGCGTAATATATGGGCGGTTTCCCATCAGCGTCTTCGAGTAGCAAAAGCTCCCTCGCCTTTTCTGCAATCATCATTAGCGCCTCTCGAGACCCACATTCTGACAATTGACACAATACGTGGGCAACGTTTCCCTCCGCGTAATCGTTTCTCATGTTATGCAACTCGGCTGCAGTGACACATTTAAGCATGGTGGTGATGGTATCTGCAATCTGCCGTTTCGTTGCAGAAACAGGCACCTCCACAAAACCAGACTTGTAGAAACTGTGGACACCAATAGGCTCGAGCGTGGTGCCCCAAACACTTCTCAGGAAATCTGACGTGAAATTATGAGCTGCGGAATCGGGTGAGTCACCAGGCCATTGCTGGTACCTGTGGAAAAAAATGGGATCGAAATCGATTATCATGCTTCCCCGCTCTGCATGGAATTCTAAAGTATCATACGGGATTGATTTCGAACCCACAATGCTGATCTGAACCTCTCGTCCGCTACTCAAGCACAGTCTAACACCTAATAGGCTGCCCGTCACAAGGTTGCAACCCTTGAAACGAACGTTACTTCTGCACCGAGTTTGCACAATGCTCTCAATAAACTCTGGAAGTTGAAGCTCCACCGTGTCAAGAAGTTCAAAGCCACGATCGTCGCAATCGCAAACGAAATTGCTCTCGCCTCCTCTGTACCGTACTTCGACCGCGATGATCGCGTGGTCGTGAGCCCAGAAGTTCATAGACAAGACACGGTGGGAATGGTCGCCAGAACCGTCGGACCCTGAGTGGAATCCAGCGTATGATCTGATTAATCTCTCTAAACTGCGAGGAGCAAACGGCGGTGGTGACTTGCATCGGCGACGCTTGCGGGAGGCTGCGTCAAGCACGGGAACCATCGGGTTCAAGGCTGCCGCGTAACTGCCAATAACCAGCCTGAGCCAACATGATTCTGGACGCTGGTGTTGACGTCAAGCAGAAGGCAATACATCGGCGTTACAAACATTTCGTCATGACTTGAGATTCAATCATCTTGCGTTGGCAAGGCAGGATCCCGCCCGGAAGGATTTCTAAAACCGTGTGTTTCCACGTCGGGGGCTTCAACTTCCCCGTTGAGATATAAGCTATGATGTGAGAGGGTAAAGCCCGGACTCACAAAGAACCCGGATCCTTGATCTGACCGCTCTTGAACCAGCCCACTCGGATTCTCGGGGGGGGGGGGGGGCTGCTTGGCGCGGTCGCGACAAGGGTCAGCCTCCGCCTGCCCGCCCACGCGGAAGTAATGGACGAGACCTGCATCATCTTGACGCTCCCCCAGAAACGTGACGAAATGTTGTAACGGCGCAGAAGGAGCGGGAACAGGATAACCATACTGTTAGTGCTGGAAACATCAGATGGGGGAAGGAATGAGGAGAAGAGGGCAAGGCAAAGCAAGTGAAACATCAGGTGGCGACGACGAGGACGACGAGCAGCAGCAGCAACAGGAGCAGTAGCAGCGGAGACAGGATCATCACCAGTAGCATGACGGGGAGGATGAGGAGGACGAAACATATAATACCGCGGCGTAGAGGCGCGCCGTGATTCGAGTTTGCCAGGAGTCCAAGGCGAGCAGCAGGCCAGCAAAGGCCATCACACAAAACTAAAACGTGGGCGCTTAGGAACGCGATCATATGGAGAGACACTCGGGACAACTCGTGGGATTTCACACGTGAGGAGGACGAGGAGGAGGAGGAGGAGGAGGAGGAGGAGGAGGAGGAGGAGGAGGAGGAGGGAGGGAGGAGGAAGGGAGGATGAACGATTCGAGGACGAGCGGGCGGAGAAAATAGGAGAGAAAAGGGACGGAGCAGCCATATCAGCTCATCTTCCCCAAACCAAAATACGGCGCTGCGGAACAATAGCGAATAGCGTCTCGCTTCAGGCGGCCTAGAATTAAACATTTCCGAGGGGCACATGTCGACAAGTCAGTTTCTGTTTTCGCTGTGCTATTATGGGGAAAGGAGGAAGTGGGGAGCGGGGAAAGATGGGAGAAGCGATGCGAAAAATCGTCAACCCAGGCAATGTCGCGACATGGGGGGCGAGAAAATCGCCAACTCAGGCATTGCCAGAGAGGGAATGTGAGGAGGAGACGGAGGAGTAGAGGGAGGAGGAGGAGGAGGAGGAGGAGGAGGAGGAGGAGGAGGAGGAGGAGGAGGAGGAGGAGGGGAGGAGGAGAGCATGATAGCGAAGGGGAGCACGCCGCGCGCGAGCCCGGCTGAACGCCACCACGCTTAGCCCGGGCTCTAGCAGCAGCAGGGGGGCGGAGGGGAGAGCGCAGGAGGCAGCGGGCGTCGGTCAGCCAAGGGCCATCTTCCTCCCCGTGATGGTGATGGAGTGCGCGTTCAGGAAACAACGGCAGCGCGACGCACCTCTCCCTCCTCCTGCTCCTCCTCCTCCTGCTCCTCCTCCTCCTCCTCCTCCTTCAGCTGGCCACTGCCGCGAGTGTGACACCGAGACGCGAACCCTGTACTGGCACTCGAATTCGCCAGGCGGCCAATGCGGATGCCGGCAAAGGTGGCTTCGCACCCAGTGGCCGCAGAAGGCTGTCTGCGTCGACGCGCTGCCACTGGAGTGCTGGTCTGGGTGGGCACCCTCGCTCCTCCCCCCACTCCGACACAGGATGAGCAGGGCCCTGGTGTGGCGCTGCTGCCCACTGGGATGATCGCAACCCTGTCGGCGTCGCGTGGGGCTCATGGGCCCTCCCATGCTTGGAAGCCGGTGCCCGTGAGGGTTGAAGCGCCCAGTAAACATCGATAGACATGCACATAAACATTCGACGGTCCGCGCGGATATCTTGGATCTGAGCTGGGCCCCCTTCCCTGGCGCGCGGAGCGCGCCAGGGGCGGCGCCGGAGGCGCCGCCCAGGGGGGGCCCAGCGCGGACCCAAGAAATCCGCGCGGACCTCCGAGTTTTCATGTTTATGTCATTGTTCGTTCCCCTCAAAATGGACGTCCGAGCGATGGCAAGTCCGTGTGATTTCGTGCTGCGCGACGCTTGGCTTCTGCATGTGCGGACGTGGAGGACGTCGGGCGAGAAATCCCAAGTTTGAGAGGGAGACCCAAAAGTTCATGTTCATGGCGTTTTTTGTTCTTCGAGGGAAGGTTGGAAGCGCCCTTAGGGGGGCAGCAGCGCCGGCGGCAGCGGCACCGCCACCACCCCCCCGCCCGCCGGTCGCCTTCGCGAACGGGGTGCCGACCGAGATGGCGGCCTCCGAGTCGGTGGCGGCGGCGGCGCCCGGCGACGGCCCCGGCGCCGCCATCTCCTGGAAGGCTCCGGACGAGGATTCCGGCTCCTCCTCCTCCTCCTCCTCCTCCTCCTCCTCCTCCTCTTCTTTGATATCCTCCCCCTCCTCCTCCTCCTGCTCCTCCTCCTCCTCGTCTTTGATATCCTCCCCCTCCTCCTCCTGCTCCTCCTCCTCCTCCTCCTCTTCTTTGATCTCCTCCTCCTCCTCCTCCTCCTCCTCCTCCTCCTTGTCCTCGCACACGTTCCCTCCTCCTCCTCCTCCTCCTCCTCCTCCTCCTCCTCCGCGCAACATGCGTGCTCGGGTGGCGGGAGGCTCCCTCTCAAGCTTGGGAGATTTCTCGCCCGACGCCCTCCACGTCCGCACATGCTCATGCGGAAACCAAGACGTCGCGCAGCAAGGACTCACACGGACTTGCCATCGCTCGGACGTCCAACCTTCACTCGAAGGACAAAAGACGCCATGCACATAAACTTTTGGCGCTCCCTCTTTTGGGATTTCTCGCCCGACGTCCTCCACGTCTGCACGCGCATGCAGAAGCCAAGACGTCGCGCAGCAAGGCATCACACGGACTTGCCATCGCTCGGACGTCCATGTTTGAGGGGCACGAGCAATGGCATGAACATGAAAACTCGGAGGTCCGCGCGGATTTCTCGCATCGGGGCTGGACCCCCCTGGGCGGCGCCTCCGGCGCCGCCCCTGGACCGCTCCGCGCGCCAGGGAAGGAGAGCCCGGCGCCGGTCCGAGAAATCCGCGCGGACCTCCGAGTTTTTTTATGTTCATGCCAGTCTTCGTTCCCCATACCATTTCCCGTGCATTGTGCGGCTTCGCGCGCTCATCTTTCCCACGGTTCGCCAAGAAAAGATGCACACGTCCGAGCGATGCCGAGCGGATGGACGGCGCTTCCTGATCCAAGCGGGGATGTCGCTGGGCACTTGCTCTGACCTCATGCTCCCACCTTGTCGCGCTCCTCAGAACTCGAAGGATGGACGGGAACTTATAAACAAAAACGAAGCTCCCGCCTGAATCGTGGGCCCACGGGGCCATGCCTTCCAGGGGGCGTTTCGCTCAGTCAAAAGTACTGCTTGCAAGGACAGACGGGAAGGTACACTGCAGCATCGTTGTCGCATCTTGGGTTCACTCTGGTGCTCCTCCTCCTCCTCCTGCTCCTCCTCCTCCTCCTCCTCCTCCTCCCGCTCCTCACTCACTCACTCTCTTCCCTCGGCTTCCTCTACCTCCTATTACCTCCTACACTGCGGCTCTTCCTCCTGCTCTGCTTGCGTCTCGTGTCCACTGTGGCCCGTCAGGTGCATCATCGTGCCTGTACGCTCATGTAGTGCTCCGAAGAGGGGGGGTAAGGAAAGACGGGGTAAGAGCATCATGAACCGCGGCTTGTGCGCGGACGGGGGGGGGGCGGGGGGGTCCAGAGATACTGCCGAAAGAAGAAGCGATGGCGCCACCAAGTCGGGAATGTGTCATGGCTCCGGTCATGATATCCGCACCCCTAGTCCTCATCCGCCTCGTCGACGCCCCTGACCTTCACGCCACGACAGACCGCCCAGTCTGGGAACTCTTGCCCGCCCCGAGCGCGTCACACTTCTTTGCCCAAGCGCGCGTCGCCCGAGGCAGGCACCTTCCATTTGTGCGCGAGGTGAGCGGGGTCTCCTCCGTCCTTTTGTCGCGGCGATGTCAATATCATGACGAGGCTGAGCGGTGGACGGAGGTCGAAACAGCTCCTCCTCCCTCCTCGTCCCCCCCACTCGAGGCCCCTTTTATCCTGCCCCTTGGGAGGGATGTTGAGGGGAGGGGTTTGACCCCCGCCGCCCCCCCAAAGGGTCCCAAATCTCCAGGATGGAGGAGGTATCAACCTATACCCTGGAGGTGTCGTTCCTTCATACTGGAAGTTACAGCCTCGATCTTGGAGGTTTGGGACTGTCCAGATCGCTCACGTTGAACCCTCCCCCAGCCCTGGAAATCGTTGCTTCCAAAGCAGGAGAGGTTGGCCCAAGCCTCCCCCCCCCCTCTGCCTCGACCCCTCTCGGAACCCTCCAGATCTCCTCCGCGTACTGCTTCGCGGTCGTGCGGACCGACGAGTACGCCATGAAGACCAGGATGGCGCTGAGCAGGACGAGGATAAGCCTCCCCGGACCCTCCCGCACCTCCTGGCCATAGAAGACTGCAACACGCAATCGCTGCGGGGCGGCCGCGCCCGCGCGGGCGCAGGCCACGCCGGCGCGCCCCCCTTCTCGCGCCGCCCTGCTGTGCTGCGAGTGCGGGCGCGAACCTGCCCTCCCCCGCCCCGTCAGCCCAGCATGCCCGGCCTCACCCTGCCCCGAGCCGGGGGCAGGCCAGGTGACCTCCGGAGGGCATGTCACCAGACCAGCAACCTGAGAGTCCAGGACCTGCCGCCTGGTGGGCCCCAGCCACTGTTTATGTTCGGCTCACGAGTGTGGCAGTGTGCGGAAGCTTCGAGCTATCACAAGGGTGTGACCGCATGTGCAAGATGACGGCTCATAGCAAAGACTGTGTGCACGCAACCAAAACATGGAAATTGCCACCGTTACAACAAAGAAGAAAACGCCGCGCGAAACCGCAGCCGCAGCTCGTATCTGCTGGCCCCGTGCAACCGTGCATACTCATGGAAGACTGCAACTCGGCGAAGGAAGGCGGCAAGGGACTTGTACCGCCATCGCCACACGCACACCAACGAGCGTTTCGCGACTGAACTTGGGAAAGCGGGGAACACGAGAAACTAGCTGGACGGCATCATGTTGGCAATGCAGCTGGAACATAACACCTACAGGCCTCGGACAAATAGTGAACACTCATGCCACATTCATCTGTCAACGCCTCCCCCGCCCCCCAATGTTCAAAGTTGGCGGTGGGTCTGATGAGGTGCACCTCGACCGCAGTCTCCCCCGTGCGTGCCAACTTTGAGTTTGGGGGAGAGGGGGAGTGTGTTCAGTAATTGTTTCCCTCTACCGTACCATTAGGGGAAGGGGGCCCCGAGGGAAACGAGCCCTGAAGGCCCCGGTGCTCCTTCCTGGGACACGCTCTTCCTCCCGGGCAATTTTTTAAAGGGCCCCAGGGCCCGGCGGAGGCCCAGGGTGTCGAGAACATGGCAAGACCTCTGCAGCACAACTCTGGCCTCCTTTCCCTCGGGATGTTGTTTTTCCCAACCCTTCTGCTCCTGGTTCTCGGTTTTGAAGGAAGCGCTATGGTCTCCAACATTCTCCTCCCGCCTCCTGCCTCCTGCCTCCTGCCTCCTACTCTCCTACGCTGTCTCCTGCCTCGCCTTCCTGGGGGCTGCGAACTGCGAAACTGTCGCCACGTTTATGGGCTCCTGAAGGTCCAGCGCAGTAGTGTATTATGCGGACCGGAATGAAACCTCGCCCTCCCTTGGGGGCTGCGAACTGCGATGCTGTCGCCAAGTTCGTGGGTTCCTGGGGGGTCCAGCGCAGCGCGGCCTCACCCAAATCAGAATGAGATCTCGCCGTCCCTGCGGCCTGCGAACTGCGAAACTGTTGCCACGCTCGTGGGCTCCTGGGGGTCCAGCGGAGTGGTAGCTTAGGCGGGCCAGAATGAAACCTCGCCGTCCCCAGGAGCTGCGAATTGCAAAACTGTCGCACTGACAGCTGCGAGCTGCGATGCTGTCGCCACTTTCGCTGGCTTCTGGGGGGTCCAGCGCAGCGAGGTCCTTCCCAGATCAGAGTGAGACCTCGCAGACGACGACTCGTCGACGTGCTCTTTTGCCATGCCACATCCTGAAGCACTGCCTCGATTGGACCTGTCCCGTGAGTTGGGCAAGGCGTAAGTCTCCCAATGCAAGTTTCAGAACAACTCGCGCTCCTTGCCAGGCCGTCATCCAAGCAACGATTCGCCCACTGCTGCGGGCACGTGTTGCAGTTGGACTGGGTATGTCGCCCGCGTGATGTCTTGACTCGAACCAGCACGCGCTGACGTGGCCCTTCCTGACACCGGCGCCAGCGAAGAGCAAGGCGTGGACGCAACAACTCAGGCGTCGATCCCTCTCTCCAGTGCGAGAGGGCAGAATCCTCGACGACCCGGCCAGAAGGCATTTTCTGTTACCCTGGCCGAGTGGACCCCGCCCCCCGGCGATACATGCGCGCTCGCCTCGCCTCGGGCTCGGGGGCCTCCTGAGTGCGGGCCAAGGCACAGCAAGGTCCCAAGATTTGAACAAGGGGCCGATCGTCCCCGCATTCCTATAGGCCCACCACGAAGTGCTCCTGGAGCAACAGAATGTTCTGAGGATATAATCAGTGAGTGCTCTTAGAACAGAAAGCCGATGTGCTAAAAGAACACGAGCTCAGCCAGAAATGCTCTGAGGGCATCTCGTGGAAGCCACAAAAAGTATCTTAGAACATTCTTTGGTGGGACTATCGGCAAGCTGGGACGTCTCGCCTCTGCATGAAAGACCGAACCATCGCCGATACATCCGTCGACTACACGCAAGAGTGACCCTAGGCAAGAGTAGCCCATTGGCGCACGGACGAAGGGGGCGCAAGGTGGCCAAATCCAAGCGCGCAGTCAGCCGCTATCACATCGCGCTCAGCGATCGGGGGGACCCCGACGAATCTGCACCAAAGGTCACCCTAGCAAAGGGTCACTCTTACCGTACATCGACAACATGTTGCACCACTTCGCGCTGTTCTTCGCACGCATGCTTAGACCCTTCTCCCCCCCTCCCCCCCAATCTTATACCGGGGGCATGCGAGAATGAGCTCCTCCGAATTCCCTGGCGCCCGACACAATGTTGCACCACCGAGCTGTTTCGGCGATCCCGGCCCGTAGCCAATATCAGATTAGGCGGGGGAGAGGAGCGAGCACACAACGCCGATTACACAACGACGTCTGATGTCGCAGGCACCAGGTGGTGCCCGCTGAGGGAGGAGGAGGAGAGGAGGAGGAGGAGGAGGAGGAGGAGGAGAAGGACCAGCGTAAACCCAAGAGTCATCAACGATGTTGGTGTAAACCCTCACGCCAAGCTCCCTCTTCATAGACCCCTACAACGGTTCATTTCCATTGATGGAACTGCCTCGTTGGAAGACACCCGTTTGAAGACCCTGAAGCATGCCAAATCATTATTCTCGAGATTCCAGCGCCACGGATCAACCTGACTGTTGCGTCTCGACGATCCTGAATCGTGCCAGAACGCCGTTCTCAGGACTTAAACACCGAGAATAAACGTAACTGTTGCAGCCGCATGTTCCTGAATCCTTCCAAAACACCATTTCTGGTACGCTGATGATGCGAGTCCGTGAAACTCTTGCACATGTTGAAGGAAACCGCATTTTGAAAAGGAACCGCCCTCAATCCGTGAAGCTCTTGCAGATTTTCGAAACGAATGTGCGCCTCGCGTCGGCGAGAACCACACATAAAAACAACACCCGCCCTCAGTCCGTGAACCTACTGCGAATGTTCAGAATGTGCGCCGCGCTTAGGCGAGAACAACATTTCGAAAACGACCCGCCCTCAACCCGTGAAACTCTTGCAAATTCTAAAAACGAATGTGCGCTGTGCTAAAGCGAAAGCCACACTTTGAAAACCACCCGCCCTCAATCCGTAAAACTCTTACAAATGTTCAAACTAATATGCGCCGCGCTTAGGCGAGAGCCACATTTTGAAAACCACCCGCCCTCAATCCGTGAAACTCTTACTTCAAAAGGATGTGCGCCGCGCTATGGCGAGGGGCACATGTTGAAAACCACCCGCCCTCCATCTGCGAAACTGTCGCCAATTTTTAAGCTTCAAAATCATAAATGGTGAGGAAGTCTCAGGCCAAACGCCAGGCCCGCCCTAAAAACTGGCCTCGGGGTGCGACAGGGAGACGTCATCTATAAGGAAAAGGAATGGAGGAGGATGAGGAGGGTGAGGAGGAGGAAGGAGGGGGAGAAGGAGGGAGGAGGAGGGAGGAGGAGGAGGGAGCAGGCTGAGGAGGAGGAGGAGGAGGAGGAGGCCGAGGTGGCAACGTCAGGTCGAGGAGGTACCCTCGCCCAAACTCTGGGGAGTTTGCAGCTCTGCGAACGGAGCGCTCCGAACAGATACATGAGCGTGCAGGCACGATGATGCACCTGACGGGCCACACAGTGGACACGAGACGCAAGAAGAGCAGGAGGAAGAGCCGCAGTGTAGGAGGTAGAGGAAGCCGAGGGAAGCGAGAGGGTGAAAAGGAGTGGGAGGAGGAGGAGCAGGAGGAGGAGGAGGAGGAGGCGGAGGAGGAGGAGAAGGAGGAGGAGGGAGGAGGGGGAGGAGGAGGGAGGAGGAGGAGGGAGGAGGAGGGAGGAGGCTGAGGAGGAGGAGGGAAAAGCAGGAGGAGGAGAATGAGGAGGAGGAAGGAACTTCCTCCTCGTTGTCTGCCTCGGCTGTGGCCAGACCCCCAAAAAATTTGGGCGGCGCGCCGGCGCCGCGCCCCCTGACACAGGCTCTGACGCCCACGGCGCCCACGGCAGAGTACACGCGACTCTCTCGATAGCCAAGACGCTGAAAGAAGGACCACTGCAGGCTCATGGGGCGCACCAGGACATACGACGAGTACTGCACAATCAATCTGTATAATAAGGACGCGCGGTGAAGATGCAGGGGCCTTGGAAGGCCATGTCAACACTCTGCGGGCGGGGCGCGGACAGCGAAAGCGGCCGAGGATGGGCCGACGAGGCAAGGATGCAAGCGTACCCGTGGAAAGTTGCCCATCCTTACTATGAGGGTCGACTGTAGTCAAGACGCTGAGATAAGGATCACTTTAGGTTCATGGAACGCACAAGGACATACGAGTATTACATGTCCGCCTCGGAAGCGTGCGTTCGACGCACCATCTAGTACAACCAGCTTGCAGCAGATCGATTCCCGAACGGTATGGCTAGGAAGCGCCCGCCACGGAGCGTATACTTTCTCGGTGCGCGCGTCGCCCCTGGGGGGGGGGGAGGGGCGACGCGCACGTTTAGAGGCATCCTGGATGGGGAGGGGAGTCGATGGGGTCGGAGGATCGCGCCACATCGCCGATACATCGGCGATGCATCGGCGATGCATCGGCGACATCGGCGATGCATCGGTGACGCCGGCGTGGAGAAAATTGTGCTCCACATCGAGCCGTATCGCCGTTGCATTGCCAATACGGCGCGATCCTCCGACCCCATCTACTCGGACCCTATTTGGGAGGCTGCGAAAGTAGTACCACAGGCTGGGAAAGGTTTTCTCCTAACGCCGCCACATGGTCCAATGCCGCACAGCGGCAGGAATTTTGTGATCGAGTGTAATCGATGGTTGCACCATGTGATACAGTGGCCGAACAAACTGCGCTTCCGACGTCCATGCCCAATTCGCCTGTTATACGGGTTGCACAATATTGGGGCCATCTCGTCACGAATGCTTCCGCCCACCACGTGTGTAAATGAATGACATATCCACTTTTGTACACCATGTGACAAAGCACAATGTGTCTCGGAGCGTCCTGGGCCCCCGGCGACGACGACCACCACGACGACGACGATGAATTTGACGACCACTACGACGACGACGACAACGACGACGACTACGACGACGACGACGGCGACGTTGACGTGCGCTCTCGCCCGAATGCCGGCCACTCTTTGGCTCTGGCCCCATCGCTGGCTAGTGCCTCGGTCTGGCCGACAGCTCTCCCTTAAGGAAGGAGAAGCCCCCAGGGCGGCGCTTCCCCCCTCGGGAGGGGGACGTGCTGGGGGGAGACAACGCCACCTCCTCTGGGGGACATCCTGCTGTCACCCCCAAGCAGACACACTTCTGAAGAGGAGCCGCCTCTTTTGGACGTGTCAGGCGAAACTGGGGCCGAAGCAGCCCAGCCCAGGCCAGACAAGGGCAAATTGCGAGGACGTCTCAAGTGAAACCGGGCCCAAGCCAGGCCAAACCAGGGCCCAAACCGGGCAAACGGTGGGGACGTCTCGGGCGAGGCGAGGCCCCCCACCAGGCCCGAACGAGGCCAAACCAGGGCCCAAACCAGGCAAATCTTGAGGACGCCCCGGGCAAAATCGCCCAAACCAGTTTCCATCCGCTCTCCTTTATTAAATTCGAATCAAAGGAGTGAATCACCCCAGCGACCCCCCCCCCCGCAGGCGCCAGCCCGTTTAGCATTCTATGGGGGGGGGGCGTCTGGACCACATGTCCGCTGAGGCGGGCGGGGGTTCGGCGCTGAAGGCTTCGCTTGTCCTTCGGCTGTTCTCGGGGCCTTAGGTGTGGCGCGAGGAGACATGTCTCCGAGCCTGTCGCCTCCTGGGGCGACGCCGAGCTCAGGCTGGGCTCCGGCTCCCGGCCCGCTCCCTCCGACCTGGGCCGGGGATCGTGCTCAGTGGCCGAGGCCCGCCGCGGCCAGGAATGCCCGAGGCCCGCCGCGGCCAGGAATGCCCCGCCGCTCCCTTGTGCGGCGCCCCTCGTGGCAGCACGAGGACTGCACTGTTGGCCCCGGGAGCTCTCGCACGCACCCGGCGGTGACAGCCGGCGCGTGGACGGCACCGCCGCTTCGGCCGTGGTCGGGATGGAGGAACCTCGGGCGCCGTACAACCACATCGCCCCAGCATCACCGGCGCGCCCGATCTGCCGGTGGGGCCCGCCTTGGCCCCGCCTCCCTGCCCCTCCTCCCCGCCCCCCCTCCCCGCCACCACAACGACGGAGCAGACGACGGCCTGCGACAGCGACGACGAAGAAGACGCTGGCGGCGACGGCGAGGCCGACGGCGACGACGGAGGCTCCCAAACATACAAAACGGCACTCGACCCGCGACCTTCGAGCGCCGAGATCCTCGGTCGAGGGCGAGGGGGGGAAGGCCGCCGCCCGCAGCGCCAGCCTGTCCCCGGCCGTGTGGTTGATGAGCACCCCGAACAGCGTCCCCAGCAACGCGGAGGGCACCACCAGCCGGCACACGCCGTAGTGGATGAGGGGCGGCGCCTGGCAGAGGCCGAGAGCCGCGGCGAAGCCCCAGAGGGGAGAAGAGCACGGGGAGGCGGAGGAGGAGGAGGAGGAGGAGGAGGAGGAGGACGAGGAGGAGGACGAGGAGGAGGAGGAGGAGGAGGAGGAGGAGGAGGAGGAGGAGGGGAAGGAGGGGGAGGGGGAAGGGGAAGAGTCCCGCGCATCCCAAAACTCGTTTCCGCCCCACCCGCCGCCCCGCCCGCCATCCCGCCTCGGAGCCAGCAGCGCACTCTGCTACTCCATTGCATGGTACTCGTTACTAGTCTAGCTGCTGAATGCGGCGCTGCATCTGGCAAATCAGTTAGGGCTTTCGACGGGTGCGCTAAGGGCATATCTCAAATCGTTGCTTCCGCGAGGAAAAGGAAAAGCTCGAGGGAGGAAGTGGGGAATCCATCCTACGAGCGGGAGGAGGAGGAGGACGAGGAGAAACAGGAGGAGGTTCCGACACATGGATACGAGAGGAGGAGGAGGAGGAGGAGGAGGAGGAGGATAGGAGAAGAGGAGGAGGAGGAAGGAGGGAGCAGAAGGATGAGCAGAGGAGGAGGAGGAGGAGGAGGAGGAAGAGAGAGAGGAGGAGGAGGAGGAGGAGGAGGAGGAATGGGGGAGGAGGGGGAGCTGGAGGAAGGAGGAGGAAGGGAGAGGCTGGGAACGGAGGAGGACTGCTTTCTTGAGAGACGGGAGAGTTGCAAGCAATTCTTGCACGCGCGGCAGCGGCGCAGGCTGTCGATTCGAGGCCGGGAGGAGGGACAGGACGGGAAAATGCGAGAGGGGGGGAGGAGGGGGGGAAGGAGACGGGGGAGGAGGAGGGGGAAGGTGGAGAGGAGAAGAGAAGGGGGAGAAGAGGGGAGGGGGGGAGGGGGGGGAGGGGGGGGGGTGGGGGAAGGGGGACGGCGCTGAAGCAAAAAAGGGCCACGGGCCGAGCGTGCTCAAGGGTACTTAGGGCCCCTGCCGCGTACCAGAACAAGCACTGCTTATCTGGGCGACACCATTGGGCACGAGTGGCGTGATCCGCCGCCGTGCCTTGAGCACGTAGTGGAGTGCCCTGCGTCCAACACAATGGACGATTGTGAGTGCGAAGTGACTGTAGGGCTCTGAAGCCCACACCGCCGATTGGCGGGAATTCCAGGCGCTCCCAAGCGCCCCCTAGGGTGCGCCAGAGGAGCCTCCATGGCCCCAAAGTCACAAACAACAAGAACACGCTCAATGCTTGGCTCAGACGGTGCGCCTGGCCAGATGCCCATGACTACTCTCCCGCCCACGACGACCCCAAGACCGCCCAGGAGCCCAGGAGGCTTCCTGGAGACCCTCCAGGGGCCCCAAGGCACTGTGGTAGGATGGGCCACAGCCCATCATGTAAATGGCGTCTGGGTTGCCATGCGCATACGTTCGAGCATGAACGACTGGAAATATCCATGGTGATCGTAACGCGCACATGCAGGGATGTGGTCCTGAGCGAACCGCTCACAGCTCAGACACCTGGTGGCTGCAAGCACGTCCCCTAGCTCTAAGCCAGCTCTGCTCCCCCAGACATTATCACAGACCGCGCTACCATTCGCACGTTATCCAACTTGCACGGGCCATTCGGGTCGATCCTCATGACAGACGGGCTGTCCATGGTACGTACCTCCTCTGTGGCGCCTTCGAAGATAATCGAATCCGATCCCGCTGTATGGGCACTTCATAAGTCAAGACGCCTGCAGGAAGGCGTGTCTCAAATGTGGAGCTCTTCTGATCAACATTGATGCGGTTGCTCAGTTGTCCGCGACACCCTCCTTCAGCATGGAAATGCAAGTTCACAGGAATCTCAAAAACGCGCACCAACGGACGCGCTCTCAACAAACGCTCCACCATGCGATGAGCCTTCTGGTCGGAAAACTGCTGAAGGTTAAGTTCAACCACAGAAGCAGACCAACGAATGTTACCAAACACGTCCCCGTCCATGGCCTGTATTGGATCGATCGACAACGAATTGCACACTGGCCCACGCAACCGTGGTCCGGAAAGAGCATACATAGCTCTTTCAAAGGCAATCGGATTTGTGCCCCAAATACATCCGACATTACATGCTTGTCGAATTGCAGTGGTGGGGTAGCATTATGAGCCCGAGTTCTTGCGTTGTGACAAGGGTGATAGCCGTAAGCGCTTTCGTAACTCCATCGGCCACACATCTCGGGCTGCGTTTAGAGCCGCTTCTTGCGACAACAAGAACACAGACTTCGAGAAGCAAGTTGAAGCCGCACGGCAGGAGGGACGATCGTGTGCCCGATCTGCTCAGGTGTGAGGCTATCTCCATATGTTTTTCAGTGATGCGTGCATTTGACGAGAAAGATCGGCAACAATAAACTGAACTGCGTGAATGTCCGCACTGTGCAATGGCTTTCGACGCTCCAGCCTACGGCGGAATGATTCGCATGGCGCCACCGCTACGTACCACACTCGACCATGGTTTGATCGAATATTGCTACAGTCCCGAAACAATCTGGGCCAGAAATGCGACGGGTTACACGCGCACGTGTGCAGGACCACTTCATCACATACGCACGGGTAAACTACAGACGAACACATACGCATGTGCATGGCCGGTACGGATGCTCGTGTGAATCGACACACGCATAGGTGCATATCATACACATGCGTCAGACGACCATTCCACACACGCGCGCGAATACCAACAAATATTCAAGTACACATTACAACTGCATAGCTGCATGCACACATCCAAGCGCACCTACACGTACTCAGACGCCTGCACAGGCAAACTAATATGCACATACATACATGTGTACATACAGCAGCGCGTACCTGCACGTGCACATCTAGACGCTCACATGTAGAAGTGTCCACCACCGTGCCGCGAGCACGCGTAGTGAAGCGCTCTCGGAGTGTGTCGCATGAACCTCCCGAAAGTAAGCGTTGTTGAACAAATGCTACTTTTAAATAGTTTGGGCCTCAGAAGGTGCGCGCAAGACCAAGTGCCAATGACCATGCCCGCTTGAGACGACCCAGGGACCCCCCAAGAGGCTTCCTGGAGATCCCCAGGTCCCCTCAAGGCACGGTGGCGTACTGGGCCGACTGCCACTAGATGCTGTCTTGGGTGTCACAGGGCACGATGCATGAATTGAGCGAAGGGTATACGCTGGCAGATGCTGAAATCAAGAGATCTACACGAACATATGTTGGGGCAGCATAATCAAATTAGACGGGAAAACCTATAGACAACATAAGGAAACTGAGTAGGAGTGCGCTGTGGCACACGTACTGGGTAAGCTGACAAAAGTGTTCTTCAATCTGATGTGGTGAGGGAGTTCGGCTGGTCGAGTTAGGAGTACACTTGAAAAGTGTAAGAGTGAAATGCGGGATTCCACTTACATGGTTGCAAAGAGCGCGCTACATGAGCAGGGAATGCAGAACATCGAGTTAAAGTGCAGGCATGTGGTACAACCCCATACTCGAGCAGGGGTCCATGCCTTCAGTAGTGAAAAGATGTGACGGGGCACTGCAAGCTAATTCATATAGTAGCGTCCACTGTTGGACACTGTAGCGTGTCACAAAAGTGTCCCATCGGTTGGTCTATAGATCGGTTGACAAACTTACTTGGGCACGCTTTGATCAAGTAGACTGGAGTGCCTGAAGCTGTATGGGTAGAACTGAACTCACCATCGTGTTATACGATGAACGCGTTGATAACACTGTACCAGGTATTAAATGGACGAGCTGGAAATGGGCTGCCAGATCCCGTGAGTTCATTACGTAATTGGACTGCGTCTTGAGACACTTCGTAGAGATTTGGGAAGCGTGCTGTGGGACATGATGAACAAACACAACAGGCCGCCACTCATAGTCGCAAGACGTGCCGCCGTTGTCCGGGGCGTTCAGACATGTTGATATCAAGGAAGACTTCGTACACGCGACAACAGGAATCCACTACCGTGCCTTGATCAAGAAGCTGAGCGCCCTGAGGGTTAACAAGAAAGGCTGCTTCCTCAAGGCTCAGACACTCGGTTTGCGGGAATGTCCCAGCTCTGTCAGGCCCCATCCACAATGTCTGGTGCGTGAGACTCCCTGGGCCTAAGACTCATTGAAAGGCCGAAGTTCTCAGTCATCAATACTGGCCCCAGGGAACGCGATGGGCGAGCTGCCCAAGACTTCTCCCGCACAAGACGAACCCAAGACCTCTCAAGAGGCTTCACAGCTGGCTTCCTGGAGAACCCCTCAAGGAGGCCAACCATGCACCCTCCATGCACGGTGGCGTGATGGGGCGGAGAAAGGGCGGTGGTGGATGAGCTTGAGGAGATGCACGCCGCTTGAGGCCAGAAAACAGGTGCCGCAGCTCAACGCCACGAACTCTGGTTCTGTCACGCACCAGACCGTTGCTGTTCGAGGAGGAGGAGGAGGAGGAGGAGGAGGAGGAGGAGGAGGAGGAGGAGGAGGGGGGAGGAGAGGAGGAGGAGGAGGAGGGAGGAGGAGGAGGGGCAGGAGGAGGGGAGGAGGAGGAGGAGGAGGAGGGAGGGGGAGGGGGAGGGGAGAGGAGGAGGAGGAGGAGGAGGAGGAGGAGGAGGAGGAGGAGGAGGAGGAGGTTGGAAGTTGGAGTAGGAGGAGGAGGATGAGGAGGAGGAGGAGGAGGAGGAGGGAGGAGGAGGTTGGAGGAGGAGTAGGAGGAGGTTGGAGGAGGAGGAGGAGGAGGAGGAGGAGGAAGAGGAGGAGGAGTTGGATTGCAGGCTCAGGCCAGTAGGAGCATCAGGCCTGCGCGTCTGGCCGCCCTTCGGTACCATGCCTCTCCTGCCTCCGTGCGTGTTGTGCGACCCCATGCTGCCTTACTGCGCATTGTAGCGCTGCGCATGCCGAGGAGACCGCGCTGACACCTCAGGCGCATCCCCCCACGATTGCCGACGGAAGAGAAGTGAGGAGGACCGACTCGGCTGGGGGGGGCACTCAGGGAAGAAACTCCCGCCTCGCACGGCGGCGGGGGCTCGAACACC